ATTCATCCAGCACTTAGGCAGACAAGATTAATGGAATATTCAAGGAGAACAGAAATACAAAGCATTCCAGAGCTAGCCCTCTCCTTGCCAAGTTAGCACAGCTGTTAGGGTGTGAACAACAGCTTAGGCTAATTAGCGCTGAAGGATCATTAGCCACATGGTGTGAGAAATGCTGTTAGAATTTGGAACTACTGGATGAATGCATTGGTGTATTCTCCCGCAGAACAAGCATAAAAGTTACCGGCCATGGGCATCGCTTCGCTGTCAGAGCAGTAAATCAAGAAAAATGCGGCTCATCTCTCTCTCTAATCCTGAGGTGCAAAAGTCCAAATTGGAAATTCCAGGACGCACAGTCCGAGTAAATATATAATCACACATCACTTCTTGGCGAAACGGCAAGCGCCGCACGAGAGTCCTTAAGATTGGCAAACTAACAGATTTTCTGCCCCGTTGTTACCAGAGGGGTAAGCCAAAGGTTGGGGGCGATCCAGCTGGGAGAGGACATTGCGGTTGTCAGGCGTTTCACTAAGGCAGTTTTGCTTGTTACTGCCGAACACGGAAAGCCCTGCCTCTCCAAACAGAGGGCTGCCCCCACCCCCACATCCCACCAGGACCGAAGAACACTGCCCCAGGGCATCCAACAATAGCCCAACATCCCGTTCCCCAACAATAGCCAGGAAAAGCCACCAGGAGTTTCCACAGGGAGCAGCGCAGCCATGTCAATTTCATGGCCCCAGAGAGTCCAGCCACCCAGGGCAGCTGGGCTCTGGCTGCCTGGCTTTGTCGTCAGTTTCACAGCTGCCACCCACAGCGCACCCTGCGAGGCTGGAGCAGGCCCTGACCTGCAGCGGGTGAGGAGCTGCTCCAGCCCCCACCGGTCAACCAGAATCAGTAAGCCTCACCCATTAAGGATCCTTTGTAGTGTCGTCACAGCCACATTGGTCCTAGGCTAGTAGAGAGACAAGGCGGGTGATGTAACATCTCTTTATTGGACCAACTTTGATGAGAGAAACTTCTGAGCTCAGAGAGACCTTGCCTTGTTTATCAAGAGAAATTGGTTCAATGAAAGCTCTTGCCTCACCTACCTTGTCTTTCTAACATCCTGGTTACAACGCTGCAAACATATATTACACCAAAGACAACAGAATCACTACATTTACAGAGAGTTCTGCATCATCTCTGGCCTTTGCCAAAGGTGCGGGCACCATCAGTGCTGTAAGTTTCTGTACTGTCAGCCCTAATGGATCTAAAATTGTGAATCAGGTCCCTGAAAATAAAGAGAGAAGATTGGCTTTAAAATTAGAAAGCCAATAAATAGAACTCAGTTTGTAAATCAGAGCCTTTAGACTCCACTCGGTTAATGTAATAAACATTCCCATGCTACCAGGAAGGTGCTTTTTAAGAATTCTCCTGTGACATTTGATTGTCACCAGGAGATGAAACTTTTGAAGTACCTGAGAAGTAGGAACCCTGAAAAACAGGCAGTGGGACCGCTAACAGACAAGGGTGCTACAGGAGCACTCAGAAAAGCAAACCGAGTTCTTCACAATCGTCACTGCCAAGAATATGGGGGAGAGTCCCACATCAGAGCGACTCTTGTGGGGTGACCAATCCAAAGGACTGTGCC